ACGTGCGTATCAGCTCCATTGCGTGTGCATTTGTTAGTTTGTGCGTTTAAATGTTAGTGTCTGTGTGAGTTTCCTTGCCTGTTAGTTAATTTGGTTTGCATTTATTTGGTTTGCATTTAGATGTAGCATCTGTGCGTCGTGCCTGTTAGTTAACTCGGTTTGCATTTACTTGCAAATGCATAGACAATCTTATGTTAGTGCATATTAATGGGTACGTGCGTATCAGCTCCATTGCGTGTGCATTTGTTAGATAAATGGTCATTGGGTTTGCATTCACCAGATATATAATATGCACCAGATATATGTTAATATATTTTTATTCCATCGTTTGTGCGTTTAAATGTTAGTGTCTGTGCGAGTTGCCCTTGTACTATATTTTTATTGCATTCTTAGCAAGTGCATAGGCAATGTTATGTCATTGGGTTTGCATTCACCAGATATATAATATGCACCAGATATATGTTAATATATTTTTATTCCATCGTTTGTGCGTTTAAATGTTAGTGTCTGTGCGAGTTGCCCTTGTACTATATTTTTATTGCATTCTTAGCAAGTGCTTAGGCAATGTTATGTTAGTGCATTTTTAAGATAGTTTTTGTTTTGCTGAATTCTTGCTTAACAAATTTGTAGACTGAGGCAGAGATATACGCTGAAAAGACGGACGCACTAGCTCTAGCTCTTGTGGACATGATGGAGTTCATGGATCAGCATATCGGTCTACCTCGGCCTCCTGAAGCTTTTGATAGGCTTGTATTGGGCGCTCGGAAATTTATGCAGGTGATTGACGGTGTGGGACCCTCCTGCGCAGCAGGTACGGATGATGCGACGGCTGCTGGTGCACTCAGCGGCGACGAGATTTGGGACAACCCGGCAAATTTAGATGCTGTTGACGCGGTTGTTACAGCTGCTCAGCAGGGGAAAGTTGGAGTTGAGGAACTGCCGCCCCCCTCCGTGACACAGCAGATTCCTTCTTCTCCCCGTACTGCATGTGCGGGTTCTGACACCGCTCCGTGCGTGGAGACAGGTGGTGATGCTCCCTCGGAGGTTGTGCCTGGAGTTGGTACGCCCAAAGCCGTAAGTAAGGTAGTACGTCGGCGCAGAAAGGCTAGGCGTTTTTAGCCTGTTGTTTAATTCAGTTATGGTTCTAGAATGTCCTTTTTTTGTGCTATTTTACCCGTAGGTATCTTGTTGCCCTTTTGAACTATACCGGGGTATGCACGGTGATGCATGTATGTTTAACTATGTTGGCAGGATGGATGTATTTTTGTGTTAATATTTCATGTGTGTTTATATTTTGTATGTTAATGATTGAGTATTTTAGTTTGTGACTGGTTTATTGTCGCCCCATTGGCTGACGCGGACATTCCCTCGTTTAGTCTTGGGTTGACTCAGGATACGTCTCCGGTGGGATTTGGATTGTCTCAAGATTTGCCAACCCAATGTTGGGAGGTGGTGGATGCTATTGTCCGTGAATATGACGTACGTACGCCAAATGTCGTGCCTCGTGGTTGGTCATCCGCCCCATGTGGTTCAGTAAGTACAAACATCGATTTTATTCACACATCGAGTTTACATTGTGGGTATTGCATGGCGTGCGATATAACGTGATTGAGTAAGCGTTTGGGAGGGGGGTGCTGGCAGGTGCGTAATAACATTAGACTGGCTGCAATGCGTCACCCACATTGGGTATGTGCGTATTAGTTGCGGGGTTTTTGCGGCACACATATGGAGTATGTGCGGCCCACTGATTTCATTGTGCGGTAGGGAACTGGTTGTTTTAATTTCTAAAGCCTGATTTTACTCTACGTATGTAGGTCCGTGATCACCAAGTATCAGCTATCCGTAAAAATTCACCACTTAGCTTGGGAGTACGTATTGCGGGGGGTCACAAAAGGCCCCGGCACGATGGTGTTCCTGGGGGGAGTGCAACGAAGGTGACTCCAGTGGAGGTACGTTTTCATTTTAATGGGATGCGTCACCCATATTGGGTATGTGCGCATTAGGCTTTAACGCCGGGGTGGTGCGATACACAAACGTGGTATGTGCGGCGCACAGATTGTCACTGGTGCGTTAGGGACTGGTTGTTTTAATTTCCATAGCCGTATTTTCCCCTATGTATGTAGGCCCGTGATCACCAAGTATCAGATGTCCGTAAGCCTTCATCACTCAGCCTGGGAGTACGTATTGGCGGGGGCAACAAAAGGACCTTGCGCGATGGTGTTCCTGGGGAGAGTGCAACTAAGGTGACTCCGATGGAGGTACGTTTTCATTTTGCTGCAGTTTGTGTAAATGTTGTCCGTTTATTTGTAGGAACTGGGTTTATATACCCTGAGGCTTACTTGTATTCTTTTGGTTTCATAGCAACGTATACCAGTACTGAACCCGCCTATGGTTGTATGTAACACACCGCGGTGTCTTGCGCCCGTGAAGCAGCCGCGACAAACAACTAGCAACGTACCGGCATTGAGAACGCTTGACTTGAATTCATACGATCACCGGACACGCGCACGTGCCGCGAACGCTCTAAGTGTCAACGCACCCGATCCGCAGGCAATCTATGATTGGGTTGCTAGATCTAGACTTAGCGACATGTATTACATCCCTTTTTGCAGCCTACTTTCGTTTCATCAATCCCCCCTTTAGTGGGTTCTAACCGCCCGTCGCCTGTTCATTGACAGGGATGAGGAGCTGTTTCTATTTAGTGGCCGATCTGCACGGAGGGAAGAATTTCGTTCACTGCTTGAAGGTCAGGAAGTACTTGTGGGCATAATAAATGCCTGGGCATGTGTGTTGAATTTTAAGGAGATATTGAGGCCTCGTGGGTCACCCTCGAGGCTATTGGTGTCGCTTACGACTATGATGAGTTAACGGACTATTGTTTTTTAGTTCAGGTTTTGTTATGTCTTGGTTAGTGGTGTTGACTTAGGTTGTATTCGCATGAATCAGTTGAACACAGTTGTAAATGTTTCTGCACCACGTGGTCGGCGTCTGCAGTGGTTTACGGATTGCATGGTCGAGGAGTTGAACACGTCTCCGTTTAACTCCTGGGGCGACATTGATCTGGTTAGTGTTTATTTTTTGTCCTTGTTTTTAACCACATTCGGTTGTGATTAACTTTCTTGCATTGCAGTTCATATTTCCAATACTTCAAGCTGGTCACTACTACGTTATTGTAGTGGATTTTAGACGCATGCGTTTCGATGTGTTAGATAACTCTTCTGTTGGTGGCCTCTCACTAGACAAATATCTTGACATACCTGACCTGCTGATATGCTTGATTAACAATTTGGTTCTAATTGTACATTTAATATACACATGTCTAGTCAAAATCACCAGTGTGTAGACACATGTATTATTTATTAACACAATGTCATTTGTGTAGCATGAGTTTTTTACCGTTTTCCTGGAGGATGTGGAGGCCACAGATCAGTTTATGAAGGTCACTACGTTCATACCTCGTAGGGTTCGCCTATCATGTCGCGATGCGAAGAACAAAGTAGATTGCGGTGTGTTCGCGATGCGACACATGGAGTCTTATGCTGGACAGCCCTATGCGTCATGGGATTGTGGTCTTTGCGGGGGTGACGCACGTGCATTGCTTGCTTTACGCAAACGCTATATGTCCGAAATCCTTCTGTTTCAGAACAACACCCATCGTTGAACGAATTTCAACTCCGCCATGAGATCAATTGTTCCGTCTCGTTGAACACCTCTATTATATACATTGCGTTTATTATTACATCTCTAACTTTATGTATTGTTTTGGTATTTCTGTTAGGATTTGGAATAGACCAGATTTCTGTTTTGGTATTTCTGTTATGCGTATGTGCATACATATACATTGTGTCTGCATTTTACTATATAGTATGTGCGAATACGAGCTATGTGCAGTAGCATATTAAATAGCATGTGCATTTTCATATTACGATGCGTATATAGTAAAATGCATAATTTTATGTCAGTGCATATTAATGGATAAGTGCGTATCAGCTTCAATGTTAGTGCATTTGCTAGATAAAAGGTTATTTTAACTTATGTTAGTGCGTATCATATATATGTTACTATATTTTTATTGCGTCGTTTGTGCGTTTAAATGTTAGTGTCTGTGCGAGTTGCCTTGTATTATATTTTTATTGCATTCTTAGCAAGTGCATATCATGTGCATTTTCATATTACGGTACTCGGCAGTCCAGATCAATTGCATTAGGTTAGATAAGTTTATTGCATTTACTGGCAAGTGCATAGTCAATCTTATGTTACTAGCAACTTTATGTATTGTTTTGGTATTTCTGTTATGATTTGGAATAGACCAGATTTCCATTACAAATATTATACGTATTTCCATTACATTATTTTTGTGATTTGATCAGTGCATAGTAGACCAACGACATTTCATACATATAAACGCACTAACTACGTTAATGCACCAAAGAAAAGATTAATTTAACGGTGCATCGACTGCTTGAAACAAACGCACAATTTGTTTGTACTAAATCTGCCACCCAATCATATGACTAATATGCTGTCAACAATCATAACCGTATTACGCAGCCAATTTATACTTCCTTCGCACATGACATTTTCGTTACGCATATAAGCACGTACCTATCGACTACAACGCATTCCATACATGCAATCTATGCGTACTAACGCATATTTGGTAGCGGAGCAGTCCAGACATTTGTGTTATACATTTGTTTTACTACATCATAAAAAATCAGGCATTAAAAAAGTCAGCACATCACAACTTCTAAGTCCTAATCAGGTAAATCCAGATGGGAAATACGGAACTGCCAACTATAAAATGGGAATGCTGGGAAAAAAGCTTAATGCCTACAGAGTTGGTCAAACAAGATATGCATATTATAAAAGCTTCCCTGGTAACATTTTCCTCAAAAAATGGGAATGCTGGATAAAAACATACAAAAAGGTGCACGAGTTTCAGAATAAACGATCTCACAAAAAACTTCCAGAATTGCATGCTATAGCTAATAACACGTCTACTTCTGCGGGCAGCTTTTACTGTTATGCCCATCTGCCATGCCACAAGTTTTGCACGTGCGCTTCTTCCTGTTTTGCTCCTTCATTGCCAGCTCTTTAGCAGACCTCATCCGTTTACCCGACCCTTTGTTGCTTGTCACCGGTGGTTGGTGCACAGTAATCGTCTCAGGTGCGGGTACGCCACAGTAAGACTCCATGATCGCTTGTTTCCCACTAGCTGCATCCACTTGGACTTCTTCGTGCCCGCACCAAGTTGTCTCCATATCCGATAGAACAGAACACATTTGTTGCAATTTTAAACTGTCCCCCTTGGCAATCCCCAAACACCTGTAGAACGTGTTTATTACATCTGATGCTTCATTACTCGTTGTGGCCCCTCCATATCCATAGTTCCTCAGTTAATCTTCATATTCTGTTATTGCGTTGCGTGTCCATCGCGGGGTGATCTGTTGCGGCGGTATGGTATCAACCCTCTCATATATTAGCACTGCAAAAGCGTGTCTACACAATAGACCAATCCTTGTATACATTCGGCAGGGGCAGTGCGTAATCATTGTCACATCCTCAACGGTCAAACCGTACTGTGTCCCGCGCTTATCATCCACCTCATAAGTCTTGATGCCGTCACCGATTGTCACTGCTCTTACCCGGCATTCAAAACAACCTGCAATAATTTCCTCCTGGACATCATAAAAAACTGTTAGTGTGTACAGTTTGGATGCATGTCGTTCAATTCCCAGTGGTGTTTTGAAAGGGGGGAGTCTGTGCGTTGCTGGCACCACTAAGATGTGCGTGCGTGATCCGTTGCTTTCGCACTGTACTCTCAAATCGGATGAAGAATTCTGTAAGGCAAAGGTGCTTGTTAGTATTGCTTCTGAAAATTCTATTCTCAGCCTCGGACCGGGATGTAGTACGTAGTAATCTGCCCATAAAAACTCCTTCAAAACACGCAGGAACCCATGACGCACGCTCATCATACATATGTTTCAGCCACGAATTTTCAGTTATGGCATATTTTTCCATTACAGCTTTCCATGCATGCTCGAAATTTGCAGTAGTTGAGGCGTCGTTCCATACTACAGTATTTAGCTCCCGTCTAAACTCTTCGTTCCTCGCTAGGTCAGTGCCCACTTTATCACCCACCTTTGTCATTATATGCCACATGCAGTACCGATGACGCGTTTCAGGGAATTCTTGTGCAATTGCAACTTTCATCGCCGGATCTTGATCAATTACAGTGATTGCGGGGGGCTGCCCATTGCGTTTTTGAAGTTCTTTAATACCCAAATGTACGAGTCCACGTCCTCCCGATCAATCAGGGCTGCTCCAAATGTCACGCATTTCTTATGGTTGTCGATCCCGGTAAATGGGACAAACACGAGGCCGTACATGGGACATCATGGTGTTAGTTTATTTCAATATAAAAGTTAGCGTGACTCGGTATCATGGTATTTGTAAAACATGTTAAGGAGAATGCACAAACTTGTACAACATTATGCACCCACCACTGCTGAACATTTAATTATACTATCGGACACTACACACATACACACATTTTTACAGTGGCGCACATGAAGAAAATATAGCTTTCTGAATTAATTTCTGATATCAACGGGTATCAACAAAACGCACACACTCTGTGATTAGTACGCTATCATCAGTGCTATTAAATATCGAGGGTCAAATATATACACACACACACACAGTAACATTAATTCGCATATTTCTGGTGTCCGCATATAGAAAAAGTTATACAAGGTTCAGAATTTCTTACCGTTAGTCTTGTACGTTGCATCGAAGGACACAACATCTCTAAACGCACTGTAATGTTTCCGCGCCACACCATCTGACCAAAAAATCCGTATCAATTGGTCGTTATGGTTTGCTTCGTACTCGAAGTACATGTCAGGGTAGTCAGCCTTGATATCCAGGTATTTGGATATTACCATTTGGCAGTCTCCTCCGTGCATGTATGCCAAGACTTCCCGTCGGTAATTTTTGAAATCTTGTTGTGTTGCTCCAACGTTTTCTGTTCCACCCACAACCTCTGCGTATATTTCAAAGCTTTTGCTCGAGCCCACATTCACCTTTGCGCAATTTTGTTATGAACTGTTGGTGACCAACATCCAATTTCCTATTTACTTTCAAGAACGGTTTATAGCTATCATTGCACAAACAGTGTGCGTGCCCCTCTTCGAATGTCGTGACTAAATACCTCCCCGCACCGTCTATTTTGAACACAATCTTTGCCATGCACCGGACTCAGTTAGATGGCTTACGACGTTTGTCTTTTTTCCAATTACCGTTTCTGGTGGATCCGATTTTTTCCCCGCTTTGTAACCTTCACGTGAACAAACCAGTTTCTTCCTTAAGATAATGTTGTACTTGTTCTTTTTGTCTGAACTGCGGCGCACATCAAAGCCTGCGACAGAGGCGTAATTGTTATAGAACTCAACACCTTCGTCTAATGTTGCAAACAATTGCCCAACAAATGGTTTTATGGATGTGTCGCAAGCCGTCAACCAAATCTTCGTTCCACTCGGGGATATATTCATATAACAATGTTCTTCGTCGACATCGCCCCCCGTAGTTGGCGCACCTGCACTCAAAAGTAAGGTAATTAAAAAACCGACGCACTCAAATGCACCCGGCGTTCCGGTAATAACCATTCGACAAAAGCAGGTATATGCACAGACATAACAGTGTTTACGCACGGACTGGTGGAAACCAAAAAAATAAAAAAAAAAAACACCTCGGACACAGGCGATTTTGTCTATTAGGCAGTACGGCGCATGCACTGGCCAACGTATCTTTACGCTTAGGCCGTTGGATAGTCGGGTATCGAACAACCCACAACCCAGCCTAACTTGCCTACTAGGTTCTAACGGCGTACGCACAAGCGGGTCGTCCTTAACGCTCACAAATATCGTCGGTCATCGACTACCCTTGTTCACGTAAACCGTTTCGAGAAATCATGGAAATGCACAGACTTAGGCGTGTATATGCACTTACCTGTACTGCTACTGTCCATTTGCTGCAAGTCCGAAAGTGTTGTTCCTGCCTTCACACATCTACCATTGTTAACGTTATTTCATTCTTTTAATCCTTTTCAAGATACAATCATTTAATTTCCATCATCAAAAGCATCAAAAGATGATTCATATTCCTTTTAAATTAATTCATTAATTAAATCAGCTAACCAATTTACTAATCTAACCTTACCATAGATAATAACTGAAAATATATCTTTTAATCTCAACCATAGATGGGAATCTAATCAATGGGTATTATTAGGCCTCATGGGCTCATCTATTAGGGGGGTGCACCAGATCCAAAGCCTATATATTATATATATAATATATATATATATATATATATATATATATATATATATAT